AAAAGAGCTGCCAAGCGCAGTGGGCAAGGTACAGCAACCGCTTCCAACTGGAAAACCGCCTATGACAACCTCAGAAGGGTCAGAGCACGCGCAGTGAGCCAAAAGGTGTGCTATTGTTGTGGTTCAAACCAACATCACCTGGCTATTTGTCCCAACACTGAGAAGAAGGACGAGTTGATGAACTCATTCTCTCACATGGAGGACACTATGCGCAAGTGCTTCACCGAGGACGACAAGGCAATCATCCGACGTGATGTTGAAAGCCGAAAGAGGAAAGCAAAGTCATCCAAAGACGTCGAAGACGAGGACTACATGGATGTGGATGATGAAGATATTGAACTTCCCGAAGAAGAGCCGGAACTAGGATGTAAGGTACCACCTCACTCTCCGAGAGCCAAAGGTAGACCACACTCGTCAGACTCTGCAAAAGAGGAATACGCGAAAGCGGTCGAGGCAACCAAGAAGGCCTTTGGGAACGCCAGTTTCGTCACCAGATTCAAAGAGCCCGTCGACCTCTTTGACATTGCCGATGACAAAGAAGGAGGAGAGTACAGGGTCGCAAATCACAGGGTTGATAGATCAGGTCCTAATGGAAAGTGGGAACTTGATGCACTTATTCAGGAGGCTGCAGCACTCGGAATAAAGATGCCCAAAGTGAAGGACCTTGCTCCTGACCCACAACAAGTTCAAAAGGTTGGATATCGGCAGATTGAGGTGACTTGCGATAGAGGAAGCATCGAGATAATTCCACAGTATGGAGTTACATTCTATGTGGAGTACTGGAATGGACCGAAGAGAGATGCAACTTTCACGGATCCACCAAAGATGAACCCAGCAACTCGCATCGACAAGTTCAGCGAGGAGAGTCAGCGGGTCAACGAGGTTAGCCATAGACTCAATAGACTACTCAGGCATGGAGTGGGAAAGCATAATGGGATTCAATCGCACCGCGGTCGAAAACCTCATGTGTCCCCGAAGTGCAATGAGGGTGGATGGGTGAACATCGATGAGATCCTGGAATATGACCATGTCTTCAACGATGGTGTCGATATCAGTACTATCTCAGATGATCAACGTGAGCAAAATGTCAAGACAGAGCGATACCAGGATTTATGCAAGGCGATGTGGCATGCAAAGAAGTTGCAGAACAGAGTACGCTATCAGATTGCCGCCATTCGTATCTCAAAGGAGGATGTCTCACTCGAAGAGGAAAGGCAATACTGGGCAAACCTCATGTTCTACAGCACAGACGCACCGTCATTTCTGAAGCATGAACGTTGGATCGTTCCTTGTGCAATTCGAGCTGTTGCCTCTCACAATTCTGGAAGAGAGACTGTTCTTGAAGAGGATGTGTCAATATATCCTGTGTGGACTTCACATCTCATTCCAGAGAATGTGGCAATGCAGCTTGGAGGAAGCTTTCACATGACATCGCTTTCCAATATTGAGTCAATCATGAAACTAGGAATTGTCCCTGGTGGAACGGAGGGATATAGAGGTAGTGTTTTCTTCAACCACTTTGCGCCGTGGGATGATCGATCATCAAAGATTCTGAGATCAAGATGGCCAAGAGTGGGAATGCCCGTTTGCCTTTATGTTCCAATCATGACTTTGAGGAAGCTTGGGGGGAGAATTTCGGAGAATTCCTACACTGTTGTTTTTAGAGAAGTTCCATGGAGATGTGTACGAGGTGCTTGGTATTGGGACGACTACGTTCAGGCATGGAGGAGACTCCTGCTGGGAAGCACTGGAGAGCAAGTTGTTCTAGCGGCACGTCATGGACTTTGGGTTGCTCAGAAGCATACCATCCTCGAGAGAGCCGACGAAGTCACGAAGTCAGCCTCGGCGACAGATGACAACGTCCAAAAGCTCGTGTCCCTTATCGATGAAGTACAATTCGATGACAATGGAGAGCTGATCGAGGATTCCATCAGTGAGGAAACTTGGGACGAAATCATCTCCAGAACATGTGAAGGGTATCGCAACGTGGATGGCAATATTTTGTGTCCATCATGTATGCATTTAACTTCTTCATCTTTGTCCGTGTGTCTATCTTGTCAAGGCAGGCTACTCTCGTGTGGTATTCGCAACACTGTCATTTCCGATTCACCCGTTGATCTTGTGAGCGACGATGAAGAGGAAAAGAAGGAAGAGAAGGAGCCTGAAGATGATGATCAAGATATCTTGGACCAGGCCACTATGGACGAGATCAGAAAGGCTTGGGAAGAAGACATCGCTCAAACTGAAGCAGCTGACGACGACGAGGACATGGACAATCTAGATCCTTCCAAACCGTCTGATGGTGCAGAAAACTTCAAGAGTGACAATGTCGAGACCCCATCTTTCAATGAGGACGAGATCGACTACGGTCGTGATTCTGATCTAGAAGATGAAGACGAACGAAACGTGATCATCGAGATCCAGAGGAGCGCACAACAATATGAGGGGAAGAAACGTCAAGATGGTGAGCCCGAGGATGAAGACGTCACCGACGACTTACATCCGGAGGCGAATCGACCGACAGATCGTGATGAACCGGGATATTATGCACAGCATCGAGCGACCGAGTTCAATCCCGAAGAAGGAAGAGACAACGAAGATCTCCCCATCTATTGTCGAGTACCGGAACCTCGAATCTATGCGCATCAAGAGAGAGCCTACTGTCAGGACGTCTCCATGAATGCATCGGGTTTGATGGATAGGTATGTGGTCAAATGTGTGCTGAACATGATTTCCCTGATGTACAAGAGCTACTATTGCACCAGCCTTACCGACTTCAAAGCAAATTGGAAAAGGAAGCGACTGGATGTGATAAGCAAGTTCGGTACAGGGGATTCCACTGAAATCGATGACGATGGGAGACCATTGGATCCAACAGATGACATGATGTTAATCTTTGCCAACGACAACAATATTACGACTGAGGAGGCCTGGCACCGATTCAGAGGAGAGCAATTCATTTGCAAGGTGGCACTCGTGATCCTATCATTTGGTCATACTCCGCAATCCTTCAAGAAGGAATATGGCAACTTCGAATACCCCACCAACTTGACTGATGCCCAGCTTAAGGAGTTGAAAGCGAAGAAAGCCAGCGCAATGACTGAATTGGTACAGAAGTGCATCCATGCGATTTATGGGAGTCGGACATATTCTTACTTTAGAACCGACGTTACATCACCCTACCACAAGGTGATCGATCCTCTGGACATCATGTACTCGAGAATGAAGAGCAAGTGGGAGAAGTCTATTCTGTTGATCATTGATCAACATGAGATCAGGTTGCCCCCACAAGCTCAGGAAGTCATAGAGTCAATGGCCAGAAACCCCAACGTTGGACATACAGAGAGATGGATGAGCGTGGTAGAACATAAGCATGTTCAAGCTCTTACCAATCGTCTAGGCTTTGGAGATAGGGCCAAGGAGATTCAGGGCAAGAAGAAGCAGGCAGCCAAGGCAACAGCTAAGTCAACATCAACGACTAAGTCTGAAGCGAAAGCAGCATCTTCGTCAAGAGCTGAGGCAAAGCCAGCATCTACACCCAGAACCGAGGCCAAGCCGTCGTCAGCACCAAGTGAGGAGCCAAAACCTGCAAGAGCACCTAAGAGTCTCGGGCCCTCATCAGCAGAGGAGAACAAGGCGAAGGCTGCTCCAAAAGCCAGACCACATGATAAATCACCATCCAGTGCTACCGATGTGTTTGAGCAAGCTTTGCAGGAAGATCTTGCCGCCAACGCACATGCAGCAGAAGGTACAACTTCTTCATCATCCCGAGGACATTCCAAAGGAGGAGGCCAATCTGGAACATCTTGGAGGCCGGCGCTAACGCAAGAACGTCGCGAAGTACCTCAACCTTTTGAAAAGGGGAAGGGAAAGAGCAAGTCCAAGGGAAAGTCCAAGAAGGGAGAAGATGATCGGCGGGATGCTCAGGGCAGCTGGGATCATCGTGGATGGAGAGGTTATCGCCAGTGGTGATTTCTTTGAACGACTATGAGGATACCATGCAAACCAGGGAGGAAGTCATTCACCGGATGTCTATCTGATCTGAAACGCTGTAAGTGTATCATTGCAAATCATCGGATTGACGATTTGATACCATGAGCATAATGGAAGGCAGACAGTCACCGACTGTCTCTCCGACTTGCCGTTCTGTAAGTGTATCCAAATCAAAACCTACATCTTTTGAGAAGTGTGAAGTCAGTTGCCGATGTGACATCTACGTGGAAGTCACCAGTTCGGATCTACATCAAAGCGATGCTCTTTTGAGTGGATACTGAGCGAGGCCTCGTGACTGTCTCACTTGTTCAATTCGATTTTCATAGGTTCTGAGCCATAGTTGCACACTTTATATGTAAAAGTCCGCTTTAGTCCAGCATGTTTCGTAGTATGAGCCTCATATGAGTCTCGCGGCAAATCATACAATTTCTTTTGTAGCACTTACATCCCTAAATTTTCGTGTGTGATCGGAACATATTGTTGCCGTTCACATGGGGGGTGCGAATGGAAGTGCAGCGACACGTACAGTGCAACTTGTACATATATATGTACCATATGTACTTTGGCTCAAGGATCAAGCGACTAGAAAAGGTGCGGTTTCCGTTCCGACGCTACGCCGCTTATGGACCGTCAGTGATAGCTTCAAACTTCGCTGATTAAGATCCACTCGCAAATTTCAATTCAATCATGAGGTGGAAGGCACCTCGGGAAAATCACGTGGATTGGAACGCAAGCGGCTAGGATGTTTAGCGCCAGGGCAGGTGCTTTGAGGACCTTGCAAGTGAGTAGAACCTTCAGGAACGTGAAAGGCACACGTAGCGCATGGTGTAGCGCAGCGTTGACAGGTTTGGGAAGAATGAACGGAAAGCAACATAGGTCCAAGTTTAATCTTGTCCGTCGGAGATCCATTCGTGTAGAGGAGTGGTAACCTCTTGGAAGGTGGTAAGCTCCAGTCGTGGTCAGTCACATGACGAACGCGCGGGGAGGCTGCTTCACTGGGTGCTGAGGACGGTGTGTTGCAAGCACTGGGCCCGGAACGTGTACAAGAAGTCCTGCCAAAGTGCACTTACTTGCAGGAGAGGGAGGCACTTAATTACCGGAAACTGTCTGACCTCTCTCAGTATGTATCGGTACAGTCAGTGAGAGGCCGGGAAGCGGCGCTCGACTGGGACTTGTTGAACTGCCAGGATCAGGGCATCGACTTGGAAGGCCTGAAGCTCTATGCGTCGTGACGCGCCCAGACACGCCCAGACGACTGGAGGCTCTCAGTCTTCCCAGTCGACACGGGCGGACACAGGAGACATTGAAAGGAAAAGATGGATGACACCAGGACCCTCCTGTTGGATCCTGTCGGGGTGTGGCTGAACTACCCCACTAGGCTTCCAGATGCACCCCGACAGGAGGCTCCTGGTAGCGACATGTCACCGGAACCCGCCGTCGAGGCCGCTGTCCATGGGACAAAGCCCAAACGCCGCTTTTCAGTATCTTGACTGCCAAGACCATGCGGACTGGGCGGCGTTGGTTTTCACCACTCCCGACTCGGAACACAGGCAGCGCATGCGCACAAACTTCGCATTGCCTGCGAAGGAACCTTGGTCGTCCAAACAAATTAGTTTTCCTGGAGCCCATCCACTCAGTTCAAAGAAAAGATCCCAGGAGCCATGGTGGCTATGATGAGCGCGCTGCATGTGAAGCCATTCCAGAAGGTTTGGAGCCTCAGACAACGCCTCAGTTGCTGTGGAGATTGGCCGGGGTTCATCCCCAACATCCCCAGATGGATAGAGGTGACTTTGTAAGAAACTGGATGTTGTATTTGCTTGTATTTGCCACCTCTCTGGTTATAGTGATTTAGTGATTGAACTACATCCTCAGCTTGGTGGAGATCCACCAACAAGTTGGGTGCGGCGGTGCCCAGTCGATGCATGTGAAACGGATGGAAACGGCACCCAGAAAAGTATTTTGGAGGGTGGTGAATGGATGGATGTGGATAGGAGATGATGTGTGTTTCAAATTTCCTCATGAGCCATGGCAGTCACACAAATGCCAGAAGGGCCACATTGAGGAAAATCAGCAAACCATGTCAAACCTCTACTTTACTTGAGGGAAAAAAACAATCCCGACCAATGGATGTGGGGGTCCCATCACCCTATGGCACCTTCAGCACTGACCACCATGGGCCCCGACCAGCCAGTCATCGGCCGATCCCAGGCCTCGACCTCTTGATCACCCATGGCCCCGCTGGACAGGGAGCCCTGGGCCGTGCCAGCGCAGCACTGGCGGAGACCGGGGGTGACGGATCCGATCCGACCGACTGCTGCGTGGTCCGCACACGTCGAAGGGCGTGTGCTAAGCATATCTTAAGAATCTGGATTCAAGAGGCAAAGAGGCAATGGGTTCGGTTTTGACATGTTGTTCCCATGAGGTGTGCTAAGGGTTCGGTTTTGACATGTTGTGTCCCATAAAATCGCTCAAGAGCCCGGATTTGATGGTCTTTGGGTCGGAGATCGTCCATCTCGGACCGGAATTGGGTGATGCCTCAGATCGCCATGACGGTTTTCAAGGTCGAGATAGCTTTGAAAGCAAGGTGCGACCTTGGCTTTGGCTTCACTTGGCTTCAGATGGTGTAGGAGAGCATCCAAAGCACACCAATTAGATGACTGTTGATTCGCTGCTTCCTGCTGGGCCAGTTCCTTCATGCTGTGTCTCAACAGCCTTTATTTTCCGCCTCACTTCACTTCACCTGTCGTTCTGCCATCTTGGCCCAAGACGAGCCTGGTCCGAACACAGTGACCCGGACCCCGAACGGATGGCGCCGGCCTTCGCCATTTTAGCCTCCAATGACGCCGCCGCCAAGGTGGCCTCGAAGAACTCGTCGGCGGCGGGGGTGCAGCTGTTTCAGAGCCTCGGTGCTTCGAACGATCCACTTGACCGGGTTTCAAGGCGCTGCCATGATGTTGCCATATGTTGCCATATTGTTTTGGCTCTATAGTATACAGACTGGTTTCGAGAGTCCAGTGGTTCCACTTCTTCCCACGGGGTTGACATGATCATAGCCCGCACAGAGAGAGAGAGAGAGAGAGAGGGACGAAAAGCACAAACAAACGTGCACACACACACACATGCATTTCCTGAATCTTCGAAGGGTTCCCCGTTGGAACACTCTAAAAAACAGTCGACAAGCTACTTGTTGGATCTCCAGACCGGACACGAACCAAACGACCGAGGATGTTCTCCTCCACGTCCGCCTTATTGGGCTTGAGCCGATCGGCCGACTACAGCGCCAGTAACGCCAATTTGAATTGTCTCATTAACTTCCGCCGTACCAATGGAGTCTTGGCTGAATGAGCATGGGAATGAGCAAGACTTGAGCTATTGGTCATGTTCTGGTGCTTTTTGTTGCCCTAGCAGGCGTTGTTTCCTTTTTGGGAAAGATGTTGGTTTTTCTTTATTTTCATGGCTTCATGGCTGGCCAATCCAAGGCGTCAATGGGCAGAGCAACATGTGGGGCGAAATCGCTGGCACGGGCTTGGCGGGAGGTGGCACCGGTGCAGCTGGCAAGCACGGAGATACCAGTCAGGGTGCCACAGCAGCCTCTGAGGCGGGGCGATGATCTCTCTTGTTTCTAAAGCATGAAGGTTGCAACCCTTGACATTTTGCAGAGGTTGAAGGTGGTATTAATTACGTACGTAGTATCACTAATTATTGACCTCCTCCCCGCCCCACCATCCAGTACGGGTCCAATTGTTTCATATAAAGTCAGTCGAGTCGATGGCGCCACGCCGCTAGCTGCCGGAGGCCTACACTTCGGATGGCTTGCCCCGGAAGCTCCCCAAGACGCCCGAGCCGGACTTTGTTAGCAAGTATCCGCCCTCCTACTACCACCGTGACCCAGCGAGGTCGGATTTTGTGGTGTCCATCCGAGAAGGGAACAGCCCACTGGAGATTCAGCACAAGATCAGCTTCTCCTCCATGGAGAAGGAGGGCTTCATCCCCGTGAGAGGCTTGCAAGTGAGCCTCAAGACCCACGGATGAGTTGAAGTGGAGTGTTTTCCTGCTCTTTGATGGCTGTTTCTGTGCTTTTTTGCAGTTTGTGAGTTTGCGAGATATGATTGTCCGGCGATTCTAGTTGAACCACGATTCATGATGAGCTATTGTATGTGTGTATGTATGTGTGTGTGTTCAATGATATGATTTCATTGAGTGCAGCCAACAAGTTCAATCACGGCAGCTCGCCGGCTCGCAGATTCGCTGTCCAAGATTCGCTGGTAGTATCCGATGTGGTGTCCGATCCAACGGGAGCAAATCTAAGGACCAAGGAGAAGGATGACAAGATCCTGCTTCTTTGCAACCTTCCCACTTCCACACAGGATCTGGATTTCAGCTGGTATACAACATGTGATGAAAACCTTGGGGGTTGCGGGCTCCATCTTTCAGTATAGTCTACACAGACACTCCATGTATGCCATATATGCCTACATTGGGGTGGGTTTGGGGGTGAATGTAGGCACAAATGGCATACATGGAGTGCCTGGGCTAGTATAGGGTATAGGTTGACAGGGGCACATGGAACCGTCAATAGAGAAACATCCTGAAGTCCGCCTCCTGGACCTCATCGATGGTCGTTTCTGGCCATACAGGAGTTGTCCTGCGAGGAGGCCCAAAGTCACACCAGACAACAACCTTTGAGCATACGGTTTATGAGGACGATAGAGTTCAGTGAATCAAGTTTGACATGTGCTAAATCGAGCTTGTCCTTTTTAACACACCAGTGACACACCAGATCTCATTTAAGTTCGAGACCACCTTTGTTTTGGACGCTGACGTGGCTGACGTGTGACTCAAAGCCCCAGCACCCTCGTGTTGGACGGTCCCGGAGGACCAGCACGATGGCGTGTGTTGGGCCTTGAAGCGTGGCGAGCAGACCATCGGCCCAGTCTTCACCACTTGGACGCACGACCTCGCACGCATCGATGGTCTGTGCATGCCATGGCTCCCTGAAGCGGAGGGTGGTGAGCGGGTATGATCATTTTCAGAGGCGGCGGCGATTTCGCCATTTGTGAATGGCATTGAATGTTGTGCAGAAATGCATACGGAACATCAAGGAAACTACAAGAAACTACGTGGATTTACTGGTTTACTGACTTATATTATGCAATTATATAACCGGATTTTATCCTATCATCATTTGTCCATGGGCTTGGGATGAGTCCCGTTTAGTTGAGTCCAGTCAATGAGGTGTTCATTCATTCCCCAGAAACTCGATGGAACTGGAATACCGGCCTGGATTGGAGTGGTTAACCCAGGGTCGGCATATTTCTCGGTCCCGACGTGAAAAAGCTCGCTAGGTCAGCTTTCACCCAGAGCCATGCTGTACACGAGGAATTCACTACATTCATCATACCAGAATTATTCGTCATAGCAAGTCCTAAGTTTTCTCCCAAGTATTCATCGTTCATTTTCTCTTCCTTCTCCCACTGTTGTTGCCTCTCGTAATCCGCATTAAATGAGTGCTTGGATTCAAATTCTCCAGAAACCTTGTGTGCGACGCTCTGGGGTTTCCGGCAACTGAAATGAGTGGGCATCCTGTCCGCAAGTCTTTACATTTACCTATATTCCCCTGAATTTGGGGCAAAAGGGTCCTTGGGAAACAAGAGAGAACCTGGCCGTCACATGGGTAGACTGATGTAGGCTGTGCATTTGTCCCAATGTTCATCATGAATGGACAGCGTATAGGACATTGGCTTTATTGTGGTGGGTAGTACAGCAGAAAAGCACTGGTGTAGTGTTTGTCTCCACACGAGCCAGTTTGAAGACGGTAGTTTTTCTTCTTCCATTGTGCGCGTCATTTCCACGGTTTGGTGGCGTGATCCCCACACCTCCAGTCACTCGTAGGCCATGCATATGAAGTTCATGCCACCGCGGGGCTCAGGTTAGATGACCCTGGCCGTGCTGGCCTCTTGGACACACCAACGCTTGGCTCGCAGGTGTTGGCTCAGACATCATCATTCCCGGAAGTGGTATAAGTCACAAAGGGGTCGTTTTTGGTCTCTAAGTGAGTGGATGTTCTGGGCACCCCTATCCTCCATTAGTCCCCTTTTTTTCACTCCTGGAATCCAAATCGAGTTATTCTAGTTTTGTGTGGCAATGGGAGCAAAGCACTCATGATGAGAGAAACCACGCCGTTCTGTATCGCACAACATCGAGCAACATTTGCGGGTGTGCTTTCTGTTTCTTATGTCCTGCTTTTCTTATGGGTTATATAGGTGATTTTTCACTGACATGTCATAAGGGGGTCACCCCCAGATGAATCTTCTCATTAGATATCCCCTATTCTACCAGGACCTCCCCAAGTCCGGTCGCTTTTGGACACCCCGTTCCTCACCTTTTTACGAGGCTATCTATCGACAAAGGGAGGGTGCTGCAGCGGTGACCTTTTTGATTCGGGATGGGCTTTGGGCTTTTTCTGTGCTTTCTATTCCATCGAGGTTTGGAGTGTGAATACTCCGTTTGCTGCCGCTTGCGCGGCAGCGCTCAGCTCAGCCAGAACGGCGAGCGGCGGCAACTGGCCGCCATCCGCTTGCCCAACGTGCAGGTCGCCAGTGCAGAGAGTTGCGAGGCAGGTGGCGTTGCATGTGTTGAAAGGACGTGACCCTGACAATCTCCAAACTCCACACTGGGGCCTAGCCCGCGGCACTGCCCTGGTGCCACTAAACACGTGCCACCTACTGGTAGTGGCCCAAAGTTGAATGGTAAAAAGGATGGACAACCTATGGGTTGGTTACGTTGGGTTATGTTATGTTGGATTGTGTTGCATGGGTTATTTCATTTTGCCACGATACAGGAGCAAGACTGCAGGACATATCCTGACATCAAATGAGGTGTGGGCTTGACATGAGGGCACCTCAGACCCAGAGCGGTAAGCGGAGGCCGTCACAAGACTGCGCAGCAGATCACATGACCAAAACCGCCCCGAGGGTTTGGTGAAACATGGACTCCAGAAAAGATAGACACATAACACCTGGGGCAACAAACAGACAAAGAGAGAGAGAGAGAGACAGAGAGAGAGAGAGAGAACGGCCTGTGTGGGCACCAGGCAGGACACAGTGCCTACGTCCTTCGTTCACACGCAACAAAAAAAGGAAGCACCGGCACTTGAATGGATCCTGGGATGGGCAAGCGAATGCCTTCATGTTCTTTGAGTTTCTTTGCCGCCCCTGAGTAGGGGGGCTTCACGGCTACTCTACTTGTCTTGGATTCTTCCCACCCATATGCAGCATCC